ACTGGGTTATCCCCTTGTTGGGTCTGGGAGGTGGACCCCAAAGAGAGCATGAGGCCACAGGTTCAAGAACCTGTCTGAACATCCCCTGACTGGTCCATGCTGGGGCCAGAACCAGAAGGGTGGAAGGGCCAGGGACCCACCACGAGGAATGCCCAAGAGCTGAGGGCCTGGGGTTCTGACTGGCCTGGAGGTAGGCCAGGGCCAGTAGAACCGAAGGTCCAGGGGGCACAACACCTGTAAGGAGGAGCAGCTCAGGGAGCTATGCAGCTGGGAATAAAGGCAGAATAGGATGCTTGAATGGAGGGGTCTAAGTGGGGTTCAGCTAGTAGGATTCTGGGGCCCAGTGTGGGCCTGGTGATGTTGGTAACATCTGGATGCCATCTGCAAGGCTTGGGCTGCAGTGTAGGGGAGGAACGGAGCCGCAGATAGCTCCCCCTGGCATTGGGGCAAGAAAAGGGCAGCCTTCCACTTAATTAACATCAATTAATTAACAACAACATGTAGCAGGTGAGAAGGCAGGCGGTTGGTTAGCCCAGAAACAGGTGGGTGGGCCACTGGGAAATCGGCCTCGAGAAGGCCCCCTATTAGAGTGGCCTTAGCATTTACAGTTTCTTTAACTTTATTTTTTTAGTTAGCCCTTTGCAAATATTTAACAAGAAGAGTGTTTAATGCCAATTTAAATGTTTTTCTTTTTAACTGGACTCAATGAAAGAAGTGAAAAAGACCATTTAAGATATAATGGATGTTAAGATTCACTTCTGGCGAGAACTATAAGTGAAAATATAAAGTAAAGATGGTTTAATTATTAGGTTTCAGCTGCCAATAAGTCACAAAAATAAACAGCATAAAATAGAATATCGTGGTATTTTATGGAAATTGTATTTTATAGGGTTCTACTGAAGTCTGTAGTGACCCATGAAAATTCCTACTTTTAACATATTTTAAGGAATTTCAAATAATGCTTTCCAATGAAAATTCCACAATTCTCAAGAGGATCTAAAACATCTTCCTCACTCTAGTATTTCTGTCAGAATACAACTTCCATGTGATAGTGTTTGTAATGCACTGCAGTCTTCCAAAGTTACAGTACCCTTTTCTAAGCTATTTAGTTTATGGTGCAATCACTAAGCCAAGTTTGGCTTACTACATCTGCTTCTTTCCCCTATTTTCATTTTTTAAATTGGACTTATTTTTCTTCCCTGTACCAACTGGCTGGTTACCCTGGATATAGTAAACCTTGGTTGATTTCTTTTGTGAATACCATGAAGAGCATTCAAAGCATTTGTTAAGATGAAGGCTTTAAAAATGAAGAAACAAGATTCACTTAAGTTTATTTGCAACTTATGTATTTATATCATATTCATCATTTTTAGCCTCACCTTCATTTCTATGTTTATCAGTTGTTGATGAGCATAAAAGGAACAGGCAGCTGCAAGTTTGGGAATGGTGCATTGTACAGGCAGTCCTCGATTTACAACGTTTTGAGTTGCAATGAATGGCACTTACAACATTTATTAACTGCATGAACAATGTGTGCCCCCAGTGGCTTGGGGGGCACAGCAGTGGCGGGAGTGCAGCGGCTGTGGTAAGCGGGAGCTCCCATAGATGCCACCAGTGCTGTCAGCGGGGGGGGGGGGGGTGAGTGCTGACCAGCGATTGGTGACCACCTGCAGACCCAGTGGTGGCCAGTAGGGATCGCTGACTGCCCACAGATGTCAGCAGCGGGGGAAAGAGTGACGAGTGGCAACCGCCTACAGGCACCACCGACAGTGCCTTTTTGTAGGGGCTGCACCACCATGCTCAGGGGGTTCGTGTGCACCCCTTACATGTCACCCCTGATAAATTGGCACCCTGTTTTGACTGTCTGACATCAGTTTTGACTTTATGATGCTTGGTCTGACACCACACCACACCAGCGAACAAGTTCACTGCATCACCCATCTCCCTGGAGAATATCTGTCCAAACTTCCTTGGACGCTTCCTTTAAGAAAGCAGACAAGAATCCAGAAAAAACTGCAGCCAAGCCTCCTGAGAAGATTCCAGCCAAGAGCCCTTCAAAAAGTCCAGCAAAGTCACCTCCAAGAAGTCCTTCCAAATCAAGATGATTGCTATTTACAATATAAATACATTATGTTGCTATATTACTCATCTATTATTGATTCAGTACAAAGTTCTTGGTTATTTTTGGTGAAGTAGGGTATTGGGCCTTGGTTCAGGAACCAATCCCCCATTTATAACATTGTTTCCTATGGGAAAATTGGTTCAGAGTTGCAACGTTTTGATTTAAGATGTGGTTTTCAGGAACCAATTGTATCGTAAGCCTGAGGACTGCCTGTATGTGTGTTTGCACAGGATGAGGGGGGTCATTGTTTTTGGTTTATTTTGTCTTCAGGAGAGAAAGAAAAACTTATGGCACTGGGGCTTCTTATGGAGCCCTGATGATGTGTACTAGGAAGGTAAATCACAGAGGTGACACAGGACTTCCCTGGGCAAGAACAAGGAAAGTCAGATTTGCAACAATCAGTCTCTGCCTCAGGACACCGGCACATGTCAGAACCATAAAGAGAACATCAGGAAGAACAAATGATGAGATATCTAGGTAGATGCAATGATGCCAATGCTGAACCAGACTCTTGCCTGCTTGTCTTGTTTTACAGATGAAGACTATATCTCACCTCCTGCTCATCCCATTATGTATTGTTGGAGGAAAGGAGAGGTTGGTTTGTTTGTTTACCTTAAGTTGCACAACTATTTTATTTAAACAGTGTAAGAAATTATTTTTAAAAATAAATAAGAGTAAGCTACTTTAAACACTGCTTCTGAAGGGGACTGCAGCTTCCTGTTCCATTAATCTTCTTCAGTTCTCTAATTATATTTTCTTTGTAATACTCTAGGCAACTTGCATACCACTTTCTTCTTATACCACAACACATTATAAGGTGTGTAGATATTTTATCATATGGTCAAAACTTCTCATCCAAACGTAGCCAAATATTAACAGAATTATAGATTTAAATTGGAATTGGAAAGTAGAGTTATGCATTCAAAAATCCTCATTGTGAATTTTCTAAAGCTATACTCTCGCACACATTCTACTGTATCTCACCTTTTTTGCATAATTCATTGTGTAACTATGGATTAACATTGCTTCTGGGTACAGTAATAAAATACATCTCACTATATTTCTTGTCACAAATATTAAAAGTGAGGTTTTACTAGTTTTCTGTAAGCTTCAGAAAGAGAAGTACTAATTTTGCCATTACATTTATATAAATGTGCTGTACAGACACTTATTAGTTTAGTTGTATTATCTTAAGATTGACTAATAGACCTGTGGGAGGCTTTGGATCCGGAGAAGCTTTAGACACTTCGGGGTCTGAAGCAGCACATCCAGGTCGAAGCACTGCCTCGTTCGGCTTCCCAAAGCGCTTTGGAGCCACTTTGGAGATCCGGCCATAGAGTATATGGGGGAAACAATAAAATATCTATAACTTTGTTGTTTTTTGTCTGATTTAAATGAAAGTTTCAGGGGTGGTAGACTCTGCAGAGAGGATAAAGCCTGCCAAGGTTTAAGAAGATCAGTGCTGGGGTTTGGGAGGAAGTGTACCCCAAATTGTTGAAAGCAAAGCTCCTGTCATGTCTAGATGTTACAACATAGCAGGGAAAAAAATGCAGGGGTGGTAGCTCTTGCTGAGGCCACAAAGCCTGGCAAGTTTCAAGAAGATCGGTGCAGGAGTTTGGGGGGAACTGCCCCTCAAGCTGCAGACAAGCAAAACTTGTGCCATGGGTGCTTGTGGGACTGACTTTCTCTGTCTTGGGGCGGGGAGGGGAGACACTACTGCAGGCCTGGCTGCTAAGCTACTGTGTTACCAGTTACCAATCAATGAATCATAATTCACTCAGGGACCAGCTCAATACACAGGACCTAGTTATACTACATAACAACCAGGTTGCCCACTCCTCATGTACAACTGGGTTGTCTAGTTATGCTCCCTTGGCCCTGTGCTGGAGTTGAGCCAAGCCCCCTTCTTTGACAGAGCTAGATCAGGGCCAAGCTGCCACTCCACCCCCCTCTATGCAGCTGGATCAGGCCCCACCATGCCCACCCAAACATGCCAGTCTGGGTCCACCAGTGGAAGCTGGCCCATGAATGGACCAGGCATTGCCCATCTGGCCCCTGGGGCAAAAAGGTTGGACACAACCGGACCAAATGGAATTTTATTTAAACATGCATATTTGCATTGGTTCCCCCCTACGTGACTGGATAAAAGAAAAGAAAGACAGAAGTCAAGCAGGTATGCTCATTTTTAGATTGTAGGTGCTTCTGGGAAGGAAATAAAGTTTTCATTCAGATCATGGGTAGCCAAAAGCAGTACTAAATAAAAATAAAAACATTAAGAAAATTAGGATGAAAATAAGAATAGAGACAGAGCAAGGATGAAGAGATGGTTTCACTTTTCTCAGTTGTACAATATTAAGGCTGTTGTGCATTCTCCAATTTTAAAATTGGAACAGGAAAAGAAATAGAAGAATAATTTTGAATCCCCACCATATATGCTGAACCGACAGTGCAAAGGACAGCATTTGCAGAGGTTTGGCCCTGCAAAAAATCTGCTATTAAAGGCTGCAGCAATTTCCTAGCTTCTGATGGAAGAAACTCCTCTCGGTTTATTGCTAAATCTTCATCATTTCAAGAAAAGAAACATATCCTGAAGGCTTATGAGAAATACTCAATATGGAGAATTTCTTCATTTCTGCCTTCAGAATACAGTAAATGGAGCTCCCAACCCTCCACTCTATCTCCCAGGCACAGCACATGCATCTGTGCCCATGGAATTTAACAGAGGATACTAGGAGACACGTTTGTAGAAGCTCCTTGTTAAACAACTCGTAGAATAACACTCCACAAAACTTTGTGATAAATAGAGGCCAAGCAGAACCAGAGTTCCATTAAAAATTTTAAATACTGAAACTATGCATTTTTTAAAAATGGTTAGTTGTTCAGAAGTGTCAAGGAATACCATCAACAGCCCCAGTCAAAATTTTCAGTCTGTACACAACCTCATCTCACTACCTGGACTCTATTCCTGGTTCTGCCAATAAATTATGGTATGATCTTGAGGAAGCCTCTTACATTTTTGTGGCCCAGGCTTCACATCTTCATAATAATAATGACCTGCGTTGCACAATTTAGCAACTGGTTGTTTTGATATCGTTATTGAATACTTGAAATGGGCAGATTTGTAAATACTTGTGACGTCCTCTGATAAAAATAAGTATATGGATGACAGATATTAAGGATAACATGCAAGATGCTGCAGCAACTAAAAATAAAAGAAGAAAGAACTGGGGTGCATTTACAGTGGGCGCGTCTGCACTAGACGCTATGTCGCTGTAGCAATACACTACAGCAGTGTAGCATAGGTGAACACAAATCATGATGCTCCCTTGCTATAGCGTGTTGCTATGGTGATGTAGTAGCTAAAAATAACCATGCACCACCAGCACAGTGCAGTGCAGGCTGTTACTTTTGGAAGTACTAAATGACAGTGCAGTAAGAACAGCACCACAGGGGCACATGTAGACACACCCAGCGACTAGCACAATGGCAATCTGGTCCCTGACAGCTGTTCCATACAAATTAGGTGCATACTTAGCAAGTCTGTGGTGATACCAAATTGAGTGGAGTTGCAGACACTCTGGAGGCTAGGATCCAGAATGATTTGGAAAAACTGGAGAAATTGTCTACAGTCATTTAGATGAGATTTATCAAGAACAACTGGAAAGTCCTGCAGTTGGGGCAGAATAATTGCATGCACCAATACAGACTGGGGAAAGACTGGCTAAGTTGCAATACTTCACAGAAGGACCTGGGGGCATGAACGATGCGTGCCCCTGGAGGCTGGGAGAGGCACAGCAACTGCTCACAGAAGGCAGTGGCAGGGTTGGTGGCAGGGCCATGGCATGGCGAGTGGGGAGCTCCCGCAGGCAGCCACAGCAGTCGGCGGTGGGGGGAGGGGAGGTGGCAAGCGCTGACTGATCAGGGACTGCCCACAGGCACTGCTGGAAGTGTTGGCAGCGACGGGGAAAGGTGGCAAGCAGCAAGTGCCTGCAGGTGCCACCAGCAGTATCGGTGGCGCTTTTTGCAGGGGGTACACCGCCAAGCTCAGAGCGTGCACATGCACCTGTGTGCACCCCCTACGCATCACCAGTGCCTGGGGGTTAAAGCTGTTTACTATAAGCTGAATATGAGCCAACAGTCTCCTCTTGTTGCAGAAAAAGCCAACAGCATACTAGATTGTATTAACAGGAGTATCACTTCCAAATCAAGGAATATGATTCTTCTGCTCTATTCAGCACTGGTGAGGCCTCATCTGGAGTACTGCATCTAGTTCTGTGCCCCACACTTCAAGGAAGATGAGGACAGATTGGAAACAGTCCAGCAGAAAGCAGCAAAAATCATTAGAGGCCTGAGTAGCATGACTTATGAGGAAAGGCTGAAGATCTAGGGGTATTTAGTCTGGAGAAGAGAAGACTATGAGGGACTTGATAACAGTCTTTATAGCTGAAGGGCCATAATAAAGATGATGGAGACAGCCTTTTCTCTGTGGCCACAGGGAACAGGAGTGACCGCAATGGCCTCAAACTTCAAGACAGGAAATTTAGGTTGGAGATTAAGAACTGTCTAACTATGAAGGTGGTCAAGCACTGGGACAGGCTACCTAGAGAAGCTGCATCACCTCCATCCTGGGAAGTTTCAAGAGCAGGTTAGACAGACACTTGACTAAGACGTTTTAGTGAAGGATAATCCTGCCTTGAGCAGAGATCTGGACAAAAGGACCTCATGAGGTCCCTTCCAGCCCTACTTTCCTATGATGCTAAGTGATTAAATAATAGTAAAATATCCATCTGCTTTTCATTTCAATGTCAAAGTGGTAAAAATCTTTTAAAAACTGTAAAGCAATATATGTGCTCTTATGTAGCAATTATACAACCGAAGATATATATTGTGTTCTTAAAAAAAGCAACTTCACATAAAAGTTGTCTTCTTTGCAGCTACATGTTTGCCTGAAGGTTTCAAGAATTCTTCCACAGTAACTCTCTTCCATGGTCAATATGATGCATCATGTTTCAATTCAGCAGATGTTTCCTCTTATTCTTTTTCCAAGATTCATTATTTATTCTACATTAATCTGTATTGCTTTGCATCTGCCATCTGTTAACCTAGGCATATTAAAAATCTAAATCCTTTTGCAATTGTCTGCAGTGCTCCTCAGTACATACTGGTTTCCCATAGTTACACAGATTCTTGTTTGTGGATAGATCCTAGAACCCTCATGCAGGCTGAGTAGTCCTAAGCTGTTCACAGTAGTCCCAAGAGCTATTCAATAGTAGTAAGGGTTGCAGTTCTGGGCCCTCACTGGGATCACTGCTTTTATATTTAACTTCAAGCTAAAAAGAAATGAACCAGTACCAGTAAAACATCCTTATTGTGTAAGCCCTTCAAATACAACAGTGATGTGCATGGCATTAATGTCTAAACCAGTCATACTGAGGTGATGTAGCCATGATGGTCCAGGAAAAAGTAAGGGACAAGGACTTTCATGGCCAATATCTTTTATTGGACCAACTGTGTAGTTGGGAGGGATATGGACATGCTTCCAGGTACCAAACACCTTTCCTCAGGGTACCTGAAAGCGTATCCATATCCTTCCCAACTGCACAGTTGGTCCAATAAAAGATACGGTCTACACAAAATTATTTTCTTGCCTTTTTATATATAATGCAAATTATTCTGACTTACCTGAAAAAATCT